CTCCCACCCCTGCCACACTGACCTGTGCAGAAACTCCTGCCCTTTACTGTAGGCGTGGATGGTGGCGAGGCCCTGGATGCTGGACGTGATGTGGGAGAGGAAGGGTGACTGCGTGACATTGTCCAGACGCTTCAGCTCTCGGATCAGGACCCTGCAGAGAGGACGAGTCCTGGTCGCAGTGGGGGACCAGCAGCTCTGGCTCCCGCTCTGCTCGGGCACCTCCTGTTTACCTGGAGACGATGTGCAGGACTGAGAAGAGGATGACGAGGGGCCCCACTGCCACGAGGAACCACGGGAAGACTCCCGCGATCATTCCGACACAGAAGAACACCAGGATGACGTTCTGGATGAACATCTCAGCCTGGAAGGGCAGGCGCACATCGACTGCAGGGGCCACAGGGAAGCAAGCGTCAGACTGCAAGTTCAGAGGGGCAAAGAGGACCTAGAGACCCCATCTGAAGTTCGTGATGCTGTTTTTAAACGGTCGGTGATCAAAGAAAAACCTAGAAACCTAGTTGCTTTACCATTTTTTTGTGCCAAGAAAGTTTAAGTGATCTTCCTACTGTACTCCCAATTTCTGGTTCATCACTCTGCCCAGCCCTTTAGACACTTCCTCCACTTTACAGGCAATATGTTTTTTATGAAATATTTGGGGGACCAGCAGATGGCATAATGGCTATGTCACTGAACTCTCATGTAGTCAACTGCGGTTCCAGTCCCAGACCTGGTGGCTTAAATTTACGCCAGGCATGTGTGCGCCCAAGATCCCGAGAGGAGACCGGAGAAGGAATTGTGACGGGGCCATCCCCCGAGAGGTGATTTCTCCCTTTCTGTCTGTCCCTGTCTTTCTGGCGAGTGTACATTCCCTATAGCAAAAACCTCTCCAAAATTTTTTTTTAAAAATGAAAGAAAAATATTTGAAAAACATATAAAAAAGCAAACATAAGTAATCTATATTCTTGCAGATACAGAAGAACTGCTAACATTCAGGAAATTTTTCATCATGAACACTTTTTTTTAAGAATTACTTATTGGGACCAGCAGTTACTGTAATGGCTATGTCGCTAGACTCCCATGTAGTTGATGACGGTTCGCATCCCGGACCCAGTGGCTTAAAATTCACGCCGGGCATGTGCGTGCATGCCCAAGATCCCAAGAGGAGAATGGATTGCGG